GACCTAAGGGTTTAGGGGTTTAAGGCTTTAGGGGTCTAGTGAGGTTTAGGAGTTTAGAGTTTAGGGTTTCGAGTTTAGGGCTTTAGGGCCTTTAGGGGCTTAGTGAGGTTTACGGGTTTAGGGTTGGGGGTTTCGGGTTTAGGGTTTAGAGTGTCGGGTTTAGGGTTTCGGGTACAGGGTTTCGGGTTTAGGGACCGACCTGAAAGCTCAGTGCTTGGATGCTCAGGTGGTTGCTGATGTCTCCTCTACGACGACGACTATATTTGCGATGACTAACGCCATTGCGATGACCACGACGAGGACGAGAACTAGTGCTGTAATTACACTCTGCTCACTACTGCAAGAAAATTGCAAAACAGGCGCTGGCAGCGTTCTCATCACCCCTCACCGACATCGCCAACTACGACAACAAACCCGGAGTGTTCAAAACCCTGAACGCGAACCATCACACTGCAGCATGCCCCCACCCTAGCTCGAAACAATCAACCACAGGCCCAGACACAAGACCCTAACTCCTAAGCCTGAAACCTGGAGCCCTCGTCAAAGCCCGAGACCCCGAACCCAGCAACCCTACACGGCGCAACTCCCGAAACACTAGAGGCGCCAAAAAATCCACACACCTTAAACCCGAAACCCCCGACTGAAAAAGCCGACAAAGCCTACCGAAGACTTCCTGAGGTGCGAGCCCCCAGGTGCCAACCTCAGGGCAGAAAAATATGCAGGGTTTAGGGCTTGAGATTTAAGCTTTAGGGTTTAGGGTTAAAAAGTAGATCCCCTAATTTGGGGCCCTATACTACTAAGGTTAGTTTATAGGAACCCCCATTAAGGGATCTACTTTTTGGATCCTCCCGGGGGTCTGGGTTAAAGGCTTTAGGCGTTATGCATTAACTCCTTCAGGGTTTAGGGATTGAAAACTTAGGGCTTCGGGTTTAGGGTTGAGACTTTGGCGATAACTAACACTAGGATACCCAGTAACCTAAGCATAAAAAAGGCCTCTCTTTTTGGAAATGGGTAACTTTATAAGGAACCTAGGACTACAAAAAGGGAATAAGGGTACTACTGGGCATCCTAGAACATGGGCACTGTCTGGCAATGCCACTAATGGTTGTTGTCGATCTGAGTTCTGACGAATCCTACGATCGTCGCGATCATTCTCGCTAGTAATACTACTATGAACCTGATGACGATGATGATGATGGTGATGACGATCACGATGACGACCTTGACTGTTGTTCTTGAGACGGACACCCAGTGGCCTCAAGGCACATCCACAAGTCTGAAACCCAACCAACCGCTGAATGCCATCCTGAAGCATTCAAGGCTTCCCGTCTCGACTTACCGTTTAGTGTTTAGGATGTTGCAAGGGTGCGTGGAAGGTCTTGTGCGATGTACGGTTCTAGTTCGTCTTGTCAGGGGTCTGGTTTTCAGGCTTGGGGTTTAGGAACCGGGGTCTGTTTCTTTTTGGCGTTTAGGGCGCCACGTTCAATTTTTCGTGGCACACGTCGGTCACTTGAATCCCCAAACACACGAAAAGGAAGTTGCGACATCCGAAAGGCGATAACATGGGCAGTCCCCTTAAATCCCTGGACCTGAGTCCCAACAAACCCGCAAAACCCAGCAGTATACATTAGAAGCTGCCCCCACCCTGTAATAGTGACAATAAGGATTATATCACGGCCATATTATATTCCTATTATACCACTATTACAGGGTGAGGGCCCCTTCTAAAGTATACACGCCTGTTCTTTTACGAGCTTGTCGGAGTTAGGGTTGCTTGAGTCATGATATTACCAATGATTCACTCAAGCGACACTATTCTAGGCTTACATTATGAACAGGCCTTAAAACACACTCTCGGGCAACACCCAGCATTCAACCCCCGAAGCCCTTGAAGACTCTTGCCTGCATCTTACCCTTGAAGGTGGCCACATGCACGCCCTTCTCCTGGCAGCGCTTCCGCTTTGGGGCGTAAAGCTTGCGGTTGAGGGTGCTTAGGGCTGCGGGTTTGAGGTGCACCCACAGAAAAGTCTTGAGGCTGCGGTTTGTGTTTGCGTCAAACGCATAGACTCTGCTTCGCCTGGCCACGGGTGCGTGCTGTAGCACATGCACCCAAGAAGCCAAACAAAGCCCAATACGTGCCAGCGCTAGCGCGATGTAGAATCAATATAGGGTTTCCTACAAGCGCTTCTAGGACGCTTCATACAACGGTGACAAAACCTTCTCCCTAAATCCGAGACTACCCTTGTTCTTACATGGCTGTTTTCACAAGAATCTCTTTCCTCCCTCTCAAGGGGTTTAGGATTTAGAAGCCAGTAGGGTCCGAATTTAGTGTAGACCCTAGATGCACACCAAAATCCTGATCCCCGAACCTGAAGACCCCAACTCCAGAAATCTCCGGATCATGGCACTCAGTAAGTAAGGTTATGAGTACCTTGCTTGGGCTGTAAGTATCTATGTTTATAAGTATGGCTACCCTACTAATAATATCCCGAGTCGTTAAGTCCCATGATCCCCCTTAAGCACTTCTTGACTAATCTGCGCACAGCCCCGGAGCCCTCAATGCCATAAACCTAAGAAGGACGCAGAAATAGGGTTCGCGGTAGGGCTTGGGCTTAGGGTGCAGGGTTGAGGGGTTTGGGGTTGAGGGCATAGGGGTGAAAGTTCAGGCTTGCAAGTTCAGCGTTTGGGCTCGAGGTAAAGGGCTGAATCCTTACAGAACCGTTGAAATCCTTGTATTGTACTGTTCTCTCAAACCCTCTTATCGACCCAAAAACATCTGAAAAATCATGCCTCATGCCTCATGCCTCAAGCACGACCTATACCCAAAGCCCAAGACCCTGAAACCTACCAGGACAATGCCCCTTCAATGGAGCCCTTATGGTCCTTAATAGTGGGTATTTAAGGCATATTAGAGAGTAGTTGGGGGGTCTAGGTAACCTTGTGGCTTAATCTTGCGCTCGGCCTGTCCGAGCTCGCTCACCGCCATGACGTCGGCGGTGATAAGGAGCCTCGGAGAAAGCGGATTTTTTCTTTTTTATGGGCTCTTTTCCGCCTGCAGATACAGTTAGAATTCCTATACTAGGAGGAGCCTGCGGGTTTGGGGGGTTCAGGGTTTCAGGCTCAAGGGTACCAGACGAAAAGGTTTAGGAATCAGGGTTTAGGGTCTCGGGCTCAAGGTTGCAACAGTATAAGGGGCATTTGGGAGGCCCTACATGACAAACCTCGGAACCCAAAACTTAAAGCCTTAAGCCAAAACGCTCCCCAAAAAGCAATAACACAACAGAGCCTCAAAACCCCAAACTTAGGTACTGCACTGCCCCCATCCAGTAACAGTCTATAATAGGGCTACTATTAGGGTCCTAATATATCTATACGAAATATACTATGAATACTATTCAACTATTACCGAGCGGGGGCAGTATCCAATTACTGAGTGGGGGCAGTATCCAACCCAAAACCATCAACCCGAAAGCTCTGACATCAACAAAGCCTGAGAGGGAGCGCATCTACGCCCATCAATAGTCCTGGGGATCTATCTACTTTGAGGATCAGGGGATTCAATAACTTGTTTTTTCACAAGGTAATTGTGAATAATTACTTATTATAAGCACATCTAAGGTTACCTATAGGCCTTTTAAAATTCTTATAACCTTTCTTTCGAAGCCTCAAACTCCTTTAAGCTTACCTTGGTACGAACATGTGCTGCCCAAGCTCAAGAATGAAACGCTCAACGCTTCTTAGGTTTTGAGGTTCGGGGTTTAGGGTCCCTAAACCCTAAACCTTCGCGCCCTACTTGGAGGATCATGGGACTTAGTAAGTAAGGTTAGAAGTACCCTAATTGGGCTTATGGGTAGTTATAAGTATAGTTAGCCTGCAAATAAACCTAGCTACTAAGTCCCATGGTCCTTTCAGTGGACCCCAAACTCCACACCCTCCACCGAGACACCTCAATTGGAGCACCATGGGACGTGGCAAGTATGACAATAATCGGGCTACAGTAACCGTAGCTACTAAGTTCCATGACTAACCTGTAAAGCAAACCTAGCACATGTAGAACATTACCCTTACCCGACCTTTAAGGACCCTTACAGAACTTTAAACCTCAGCGAGCTTGAAAAAACCTTACAGAAGCCCCTAGACGAAGCCGTACACCCGTAAATCCCTCCACGAAAACGCTTTGATGCAAAGGGACCCTTTCTCTGATAAACGCTAAGCCCTAAACCCCAAACATGCAGCCCTAAACAAAAAAAGCTGAACCCCCAAATCCGAGGCCCTAAGACCGTGGAAATCCTAAACCCTGAACCCTAAACCCCAAATCCTAAACCCTAAACCCAAAACACCCTACACCCAAAACCCTAAAAATCCTGTAAACCCTACCTGCAACTTCCTGTGGTGTTCTTTATTCCGCCTCTGGCGGTTAAAACGCCTTCGTACTTTCGCAGGCGTTTACACTGAGCGGCAGGCGAATCTTTACTGTATCAGGTTCGGAGCCAACATTCGGTATCAGTTCTTGCAGAGACAGCTGTGTTGAGTGCTTTGACATCAGTATGGGGGACTCACTTGTAATGTACGTAGATATCTAGACTCCTATGTAGTTCAACGGGGGTTGCAAACCCCGGCATGGAAGCCCACGTACAGCTTCGCTTCTTTTGAGCACGCTGGGCCGGAGATCGGTGCCGAAGAATGTGGAGCCTGACCAGGCCCGGGGATGCTTATGCAGGGTATCATGGGGAAGTTCGTTTGCGCATGTTGCATACCACTCAAACGCCGTCTGGAGTCCATGCCTGCTCGAAGCAGTATATGTGTCTGTGTGGGAAATTAAGAGCACGATCGACATCGAATGATCCATGGATCAATGCAAAAGCACAGAGATTCGGCACGTGAATCACAACATGATTCTACAGAGATCCATGTGTCAACCTGTGTGGTGCAGGACTTTGCATGTAGCCCCATGTTCCTTGTTCATCTCCGTATATTATAGGAGAGCGCCCTTTGCTGCCATGCCCAAGCCATGTACCTTCGAAGCTCCCCTAGCAGATGCGCTGGAGGACAGCAAGTACGTGAGAGAGATTTTCAGGGAGCGAAAGGCTCTTTTGGGATGGAAAAGTGACGAGAAAAAGGGCTTGCCGTCACTCAGTGCCCTAGGCATGAACACTCGTGTGATGTGCTTGTTCGCCGAAGTGTACTGCACGCACAAGACCGACTCTGTGCGGGCACCTCCGATCGCGTGGATCAGAAAGGAGGTTGGGGTTTTGAGAAAAAGGTTATGGCTCGTGTTGTATACGTCTTTCTTTCAGATGTTTGTGTAACATGCTCCTGCATTCATCGTCCAGAGAATATATACATGTGCAAAGATGTGCCCGCTTTATCCTGAAATCTCCTGCCGAGGTGAAGAGGTTTGGATCCCTCATGTCCATCGAGCAGTCACGACAGCAACTGCACTTGGATTGCTGGGGGCTGAAGAAGCTCTTCAGTACGGCTTTGCGCCGTTGGGGTGTGAAGATCGGGGCTAGGAAGGACTGAGTGGGATCGCAGGGTGTTAAATTGAGGGATGAGTATGTTCATAGACCGACTGCCGCAAGTTATGTACGATCAAGTAGCCCATTCATGTACACATGCATGTGGGGCGAAATATATAAAGCTATGTATGGGTATAAATACATATATGCACATATACACATTCGTTTTGTTGCTCCAACTTTGGGGATGTGTCCTATCGGGTGTATATATATATATATATATATACATCTATAGACAACTGCTAGAGTTGTATACACTTGTATGTATATGTTTTAAGTTTTCTGTGCAGAGGTACACATGCATACCTTAAATTGTATGCAAATGCACTGTATGCATGCATGCATGGATGGATGTCTGATATGTACATACATATCTATATATATATATATATGTACCGAGATACATGCATACATATGTGCCTGTACACATGAACACATGCATGTACACATTTCTGTGCATGGGGATTTGCATGAGCCTCGGTTGACCGATTGTTTCTGTGTATGTCGGTTCTCGGGCCTTATAATGGTGTATGGCAGGAGAGCGGAGTCGATGACTTTTACAAAGTCGTGCAGAAGCACTGGGGAAATGTCCTCCCTTCCTTGAAGAACCCCTGCCCGGTGATCGTCGTCGACCTCACGGCCACATCTCCGGGAACGAAGGTGAAGCAGCAGATCGATGACGTTATCAAAGTGGAAGACGACGATGATGAGAATCTGGAGGAGCAGGAGTTTAAGGCTCTACCAGAGGAGGACCTCACTATGGAAGAAATCCAGCAAAAAATTGACTATCTCAGGTACCCAGCCTGCACATAACAGCATGTATGACTTCGATCAGGTTTGGATTTGTACAGGGAGTGATGAAGTACACAGGTTCAACGGAGTCTGTCAAGTCACATTGAGTTTCTGTATTTGCTTTGATATAATCTTTCTCATAGCATATATATACATGCACTATAATAGACAGTGACACCAGAACCATGACAAGGAGACTGTGTAAAGAAACACATTAACATGTGTTCTTCTTGGAGTGCTGGTAAAGTATGTCATGTGATTGGACGAACTATATACTATTTATTCGTACTAGACAACTTATGCTGCTAGTGCGGCCCCTATATATATATATATATATATATATACTCTTAGTAGTACTATATAGCACAATATTCATATTAGTACCACGACTGCGACTACTACTAGTACTGCTACTGGCACAAGCATGATGACGATGAGGACGAGTATGATGATGGTACTGATACTAGTACTAGTACTAGTACTAGTACTAGTACTAGTACTAGTACTAGTACTAGTACTACTACTACTACTACTATATATCACCACCACTGCTACTAATACTTCTACTACTACTACTACTACTACTACTACTACGACTACGACTACGACTACGACTACGACTACGACTACGACTACTACCTACTACTACTACTACCACTACTACTATACTCATACTACTACTACTACTACTACGACGACGACTACTACTACTACGACTTCCACTAGAAGCGCTCCGGGTGATGATCGTATTACTAGCCGTCGATCTGGATGCAAATTTTAAGTGCAACCAAGGGCCTGCTGTGACGATGGCTACGGCATGATTGTCCTCGAGGACACAGTGGATGCTTCCCTGGCCGAGACGCAGGTGGATGCAGGTGCTTTGGAGGTTGCTGCCAAGGAGGCTATGCTAGAAGTTGAGGAGAGCCCAGCTCGCCCTTCCCAAGGCCGATAGTAAGCTGTGTTTGTGTTTTCAATCCGTATCCATCATGTGGGTTGGGATGATGTGATTCCGTAAAGACTAGCATTGACGATATGCATGCAAGCATCTGAACAAGCAGGCCAGCAGCTTGCGGAGACCCTCGCGCTCTTTGACCAAGAGGACGAAATCCCCGTCGTCAGTAGGGTGGGGCAGTTTCAGCAAAAGGAAAGGGGAAACAAACTGAATCCGGATCAAGACTACGAGGAACTTTCCGCCAAAGCCTCCAAGCCCGTGTCACCGCCACGCACGCCCCCGAGAAGGCCCTCAACCCCAGAACCCTCAACGAAGAAAGACCACGAGTTGGCAAAGAAGTTGCAACGATCGGAACGGCTACACAGCTCCGACCACACCAAGCGCTACCTGGACCTCGAACTCGACGATCGCATTTTCAAGGACGATGATGCGGATGGGGAGGCGAATGCCAAGGCCTCCGAGTGCAGGGTTGGGAGAAATTTGAGGCATTTGGAGGGGAGAGCTGATCAAATCGTGCTTCAGTCGGTGTGTGCATGGATGAATTTGATTAACATGGTATACATGAGTATGTGCACAAGGTGCTGGAGAACGTCTATACAAGATTGGATCAGCTAGGGTATTGTTGGAAACAAGACATCTCTACATGTAACATACATATAACTAACAACTAGCACAAACCACTCTCCCATGCATATATATATATATATATATGGTAGACACATACATATGTAGAAGTGCAAACACGTCTGAATCATTGACATCAGACATGTACATATATATATATACGTATATAGATACCGTGACGGTCTGTATATGTTTTAGTTCGTCATACCGTAGCATCCGTATGATTTGCATTGTAGAAATGCACGTACGAGCATACACACACACACGCACACGCACTTAAGTTACATACATACATACATACATGCACACGTGCATGCATACATACATATACGCAACCACATACATTCATATACGTACATATACATACAGTATGTGTACAATATTGTATATATGTATATATACATATATGCATATATATAATACATGCATACATACATGCATGCAAACACATGCATGTACACAATCATGCATATGTATACATATATACATATGTACATCTATATACATGTACATGTACATATGTAGTCTCGCATGTGTCATCCTGCCCAGGAGAAGGCCCAGCTGGACCTGAAGAGGAACCAGAAAGGGAAGGTGCATGCTGGTTAAGATTTTCTTGGAATATATTGCTTGGGTGTGTCGAAGTTTCAGATTCGGATCGGTGCCAATGCACGCAGGGAGCTCTGCAAAACGGCTGAGCTTATATAATGTTGCGAGTATGTACATATAAGCTCAATATAGCCTGTATACTTGTATACACATACATATATATATATATATATGCACATATCTATACATATAGATAAATAAATATATTTATATGTATTACATGTATGTATATATATATATATATATCACACACATAAGCATATACAGATATAGGTATAACACATATAAGCCTTCCCCATTGCAGGTGCCACCAGCGGAGGGTCAGGCTTCAGCCGGATCCAAGCGTGTCCTGGAAAGTGCTGGCAGGGCAGGTGCAAGTGAAGAAGAGGACAGTGAAGACCCTGAGGAGGATCGCCGTGGCAAGAGGCAGCACCACGCACACGAGGAGGAGAGAAAGGTCAAGAACGGCCGTGGCAGGAAGGATGAGGAACAGGAGGATGACCGCAAGGAGAAGCCACGCAGCAGAAGTGCGATCGAAGTGGAAGACCTGGAAGAGGAGGAAGAAGAGGAAATCAAGAAGGATCGCAGGAAGGCGCCGGAGAAGAGTAAGAGGCCAGTGCCAGAGGAAAAGGAGATCCCGAAGAGCCGTGGCAAGAAGGAGCCCAGGAAGGTGCCAGAGGAGGAGGAAGAGAAAGAAGAGATCCCAAAGAGCCGTGGCAAGAGACCAGTGCCAGAGGAGGAAGAGGAGGAAGAGGAAGAGGAGATCCCAAAGACCCGTGGCAAGAAGGCGCTTAAGAAGAAGCCAGTGGAGGAATACGAAGAGGAGATCCCCGTGAAGGTCCGTGGCAAGAAGGCGCTTAAGAAGGTGGTGGAGGAAGTGGAGGACGAGGAAGAGGAGATCCCAAAGACCCGTGGCAAGAAGGCCCCAAAGAAGAAGGCAGTGTCGGAGGATCACGAGGAAGAGGAGGACCAGGAAGAGGAGATCCCAAAGACCCGTGGCAAGAAGGCCCCAAAGAAGAAGGCAGTGTCAGAGGATCAACAGGAAGAGGAGGATGAGGTTCAAGAGATCCCAAAGAGCCGTGGCAAGAAGGCGCCAAAGAAGAAGGCAGTGTCCGAGGATCAAGAGGACAAGGAGGACGAGGAAGAGGAGATCCCAAAGACCCGTGGCAAGAAGGTGCCAGAAGAAGAGGAGGAAGAGGAGCCAGAGGAAGAGGAGATCCCCAAGACCCGTGGCAAGAAGGCGCTTAAGAAGCTGCCCGAGGAGAAGGAGGAGGAAGAGGAGCCAGAGGTAGAGGAAGCCCGGGGCAAGAAGACGAGCAAGAAGAAGCCAGTGCCAAAGGAGGAAGCCAACAACTCCAAGAAGAGGCTTTCGACAGCAATCGAGGTGGACGATGACAGAGAAGAGGATGACGAGGAAGAGGAGATCCCAAAGAAAAGGCATGGCAACAAGCCCATAAACAGGAAGGTGCTGCCAGAGAAGGACGAGGACGAAGAGGAAGATAAGATCCCAAAGACCCGTCGCGCTAAGGAGGCGATCAATGAGATCCCGAAGAGCAAGAAGAGGGCATTGTCAGGGGAGCCAGATCTCGAGGAGGTCCCGAAGAAAAGCCGTGGCAGCAAGACGAGCAAGAAGAGGCCAGTGCCAGAGGAAGTGGAGGAAGATGAGGAAGAAGAAGAGGAGATCCCCAGGAAGGTCCGTGGCAAGAAGGCGCCTAAGAAGGTGCCAGAGGAAGCCGAGGAAGAAGAGGAAAAGGAGATCCCAAAGACTCGTGGCAAGAAGGCCCCAAAGAAGAAGGCAGTGTCGGAGGATCACGAGGAAGAGGAGGACCAGGAAGAGGAGATCCCAAAGACCCGTGGCAAGAAGGCGCTGAAGAAGGTGCCAAAGGAAGAGGAAGACGAGGAAGAGGAGATCCCAAAGACCCGTGGCAAGAAGGCCCCAAAGAAGAAGGCAGTGTCGGAGGATGAAGAGGAAGAGGAGGAGGAAGAAGAAGAAGTGTTCCCCAAGGAAGCCGAGGAGGACGAAGAAGAGGAGTCAGTGGAAGAGGAGATCCCCCAGACCCGTGGCAAGAAGGCCCTTAAGAAGCTGTCAGAAGAAGAGGATGACGAGGAAGAGGAGATCCCAAAGACCCGTGGCAAGAAGGCGACCAAGCTGTCAGAGGAGGAAGATGAAAAGGCCAAGAAACTCAAGAGACGAGTCATTGGCAAGAAGCCTGATCCGAGGGAGCCCAGGGAGTCCTCAGAAGAGGATGATGAGGAGCCTGAGCCGAGCGAGAGTGAGGAGGAGCCCACGCCCAAGGCAAAAGCCAAGGCGAAGGCGAAAGCGAAAGCGAAGGCGAAGGCCAAAGCAAAAAGCAAGGCGAAGGCAAAAGCAAAGGCAAAGGGAGCACCTGGACCCAAGAAGAAGCCGGGTCGACCGGCCAGGGCTGACAAGACCGAGGGTGAGGATGGGATTTTCGCCAGAAGGCGCAGGCCCCCAACGGTTCCAGCCTGTCTGCGCTGGGAAGCCATCGTGACTGTGTTCCAAATGGACGTCGTGCCGAAGCTAAAGGAAGCTGAGCTTCCTATCTCTTGCTGGGAGGTGCTTGCATGTGTGAAAACATATTAACAAACATACGTATGCATATGAATATGTATATATGTATGTTTGTAGATGATTAAAGGTATATAAATGTAATTAAATATATATACATATACATATATATATATATATATGGTACCTTGTATACAGGTTTTTAGCATGGTTTGATAGCACTGCTTCGCCCTGTGCACATATATATATACATACTATACATGGCCTCCACATATGTAAACATATAAACCCGATATATGTATGTATTACCTCAGAAACCCTCTATATATGTATATATATATATATGTAGGTATATAGGTGTATATATACATATATATATATATATATTTATATATATATATATATATATGGGTTTATATATATATATATATATAGTAGGGTACACATATAACCCTGTGTATATGTATATATATATATACACATACACAACCCTGATCTCGAAACCTCCCTGGTGCAGGAACCTTGGTGGAACCTGGCCACGCGTATGTTCCAGAACGACGATGGTGAAACCTGGAGGAGCACGGTTGAGTACGAAGACCAGCTGAAGCCCAGGGTCCCCAAGTTTCTGAAGATGGCCCTGGAAAGCCTCTAGTAGCCCTGTCTAGGAATGCCCGAAGCAACCACAACGATTGCTAAGTGCAGGCAGTTTTGATGAAGCCGAGCTGCATTTTGCAGCTGCTGTTCTATATCCATATGAAAGTGCAGGCTGTGGATGTATGTGGATGAGGATGAGCTGCATCTTGTAGCCACGATTCTGTTCCAAGCGTGTGCAATGCGCTACTCTAGCTGGCACCCGTGTGATAACATGGGCAGCCGTGCGAGACCATGTGATAGGGTCTGTGTGCTCCTGGGGGCACATATGCAGACATTAGGGGATTCAAGCTTTCATGAGAGTGTCTACCTTCATCTGACACGAGTGGAGAAAAATTGCTGGATATCATGTGGTCATGCAGTGCTCAGCTCGAATGGATGGAACCATCAATTGTCGCATGCAGACTTGTCCCTAAACCCTATAGACCCTATAAACCCTTATAAACCCTATATAAACCCTATAAACCCTATATAAACCCCAATTACTTTAACCTAGTGCAAGCTGCCTCCTGTGCCACAGGCTTTCCAATGCCGCGCGGCAGCGTGAATCTTTGGAAGTTCGGTGCTGGGCCGGATGAGAGTGCCCCCTGCAGTGAAACTTCGCTTGGATGTGAACATTAATTGGGCATATGCTACTAAACGGGTTTCTGCACTAGGTAGATTCAGGCGGATGGGGAGTGGGTTCAGCCCAGTTGTGCTTGTACCTCATCTAGCTTCGACCTACATTCCCACTCGTTGTGTTCGTGTTGCCTTGAAAAGTGTGCTGCTTTATGTTCAGAAGGGGACATGCGGTTTGTATGCAGGTATCTATACAGATCGTGACTTGTAGACACACACACACACATACACACATATACATATATGTACATATGTATATACGTATATATTGTATGTGCATGTGGTTTGCATTTAGCGAATATGGCTGGGATTATACGCAGACCCACCTCCTCCGTGCATATGCAAGCATGCACATGTAAATACATACACGCACATACAGACAGACAGAAAGACAGACAAACAGACACACATATATATATATATATATATAGGGGTATATATATATATAGGGAGAGAAATAGAGAGAGGGAGGAGAGGCATATATATACATATATATATATACACATACAGATATACACATATACATTTTTATACTGCCTACACATGTATATACATGCGCATGAAATTAGTACATGTGTTGATGTATATGCACATATACACAGGTCTTCACGTCTAGATCTGTATATATGTATATGTTTGTACATGGTCTACCACGTGGAACGAGCTTGATAATCGGTTGGTTCTATATATATATATAGGGGGCTTACTTCGAAATCAACGCCCTCTGTTGGGAGCTCTTCGTTCGTTCTGAGTATACAAGCCTGCTGCAAGCAGTCGATTATGTGCAGTCATCCTCGCAACTTCACTATGCAAGACCGCATGTAGAGTTCGACGCAAAGCCACCCGATCCCCAAGCATGCATTGTCAGCTTGCGACGGCCGTCTGCAGTCATTTACAGTGGAACGAATTCCCAGTCGGGAAACAGTCCCAACGCCTGCACGGCATATATGTGCTGATCCTGCCGAAATCGAACCCTCGATTGATCGATGTGATTAACATATTATGAGTTACAACTATGGGTATGTATATATGTATATATATATATATATGCAAGTAAATATGGCATACATACACCCTGTATACACAGACACATATATACATCCAGTATATAAAATTCCATGGCTATGCATGAATAGATTCATGTACATTTAGTAAACAGTTCATATATATATATATACACATATATAACCTGTCGATCTGTATCTATATATATATATATATATGGGTTTCCCTCTGCATATATACATATATTCTATTCATTTTATCTCAGCTTTTGCTACATATGCATACTTGTATACATGTACTTCTGTACACATATATACATATATATCCGTATATGTATGTAGATGTACAGGAATGTATACATACATATATAAACTTCTATAGATGCAAGTGTGAATACATATATATAAATAAACCCGGTGCATTCCTGGCGGACCAATCTGCCAGTGCAATGTTCATAGATATGCATAGAATCCCAATTTAACAACGCCGCTCGTCTGAGCTCTTGCAGCCATGTCCCCAGCAGAGTTCGATGTCTTTCTCCGGCGCCTCTTCAGCCTAGGAGCGCCGAAGGTCGGGCGACTTCCTTGGCAAATGATGTATAGTTCTTCGTGGACACAGGTATGTGATGTGCATGTACATAACTGAGTTTACATGAACATATATGGATATATATATATATATATATATATATCATATGCATATGTACATACACGTGTGTTACGCTTCTGACTGCGTGTGTGTGTGTGTGTATGTGTGAGCTCCATCTATGTACGTAGACATGTGCACATGCATACCCGTTGTATGCAAAGTGGGTTTCTTCAGTCTGCTTCAGTCAGAGACTACAGGGAAGACTTGAAAACCAAGAATGATACCGAGCGAAGTCGTATACTCGTGTGTGCGACTCTGTGTACACATGTGCATGTGTCAGTTTCTTTCCCCCGAAGATATATATGAACCTCTATATAAGAACATGTGCCTCCTAGATATGTATGTATACATATATATATATATATGCCTCCCCCTCAATGTACTGCTCTGTAAAGGTGATCATCTTCCTCGTCCTGCTCGTATGGTGGCTGGACATCTCCCCGGACTCAGGAATCCAGTTCTTGGATTTCTTTGCAGGGAAAGCTCGATTAGCTTTGATGGCTGAAGGAGCAGGATTCCGCGTTCAGGCTTTCGACAAGAGTTACGGGGACAAGCGTGCTTCCAGAAAGGGTAAAAGATCTTCCATGGACCTGAACTCCAATGCGGGGATGGTGATACTTGTTGTGCAAGTAAGGGTCCTCTAGCTGGTGTCTTCAGTGGGCAATTCGTTTGGGTGGCTTCGCCCAAATCTAGAATCCCGCATCTACAAGAACCTATGTACATATATATATATATATATACATACATATATATATATATATACATGTATATATATATATATATATATGTATACACACATGTACATATATAGCAACGAGCCCTTAATATAGTTTTGTACATATATGTGTGTATATGTATATATACATATATGTATGCATGCATATATAAGAAAGAACATGTGTGTATATATACATGTGTATATGCATGGGTATATATATATATATATATATATATATATATATTTATACATATACATATACATATATATGTATATATACTTATAGATACATTTCTTCAGATGCATATACATTGTTAGTAATCATATCTGTGAATACGTTTAATTTTATGCATATGTATGTATAAATCCTTAGTCACACGTACACGTAAATGTGTATATATATATATATATGTATACACCTGCAGCCGCTACATCTGCACATAGATAAACCCTAATCTGCTGTTGAACCAAGGATCGCGATTTCATTGGTTTTGCGCTCGAAGATGGACCAGCTCGTGGCTGCCTTTGGAGTGGTTTGTTCGAGCTTTGTTCCAATCAATCGTGGGACTTCGAAACGGTGCTACTTGTGCCCTCGTGGTGATGAATCTGTGGTTACTGTTCGGCGGGGAAACAAGCTCATGGCAAGGACACATCGAGTTCAAGTTAACTGATATAGTGTGCACAAGAGTAGTAGACCAGCTAGGGTTATCATTAAACCTCGATCGGTATAGTGCACCCAGCTAGGGGTATCATTGAAACCTCGATCGGTAGTGCACCTCTACACATGGAATATTTATTGTAACCCAATTAACAACCGCTTAGCATTCCTCCCACAGGAGTACAATCCTCATGTACTTGGTCGTTGCAGCTGGTGGCCACTATGTCCTGGAGAACCCCCAAGGTTCACTGATAGCTTTGCATGAGCGCTACGTTCAATTCCTGCGTACATTGCTGGGCTTGGGCATCACAGTGTCCTTTCAGCAATTGTGTGTTGTGTGGAAACTCACATGTGTGTGCATGTTGTAGCATCAAGCTGCCTCTGCTGTATTGCCTGGCTAGCTAAAACATACAAAGTCTCCATGTGGATGAGAAAGTTTCAATCGTTCACCTGGAAGCGAACGTGGTTGTGGTCGAACTCCGACCTCATCTACCGACTTGATCTGGGGCCTCTGACTGAGGAGGAGAAAGAGAACTCGGTAACGACGGTAACGAGGACCACTAAGAACGGCAAGCAATGTTGGACGGCGAACGAGAACTTAAAGCCGACTCAGCTCCTTTGCTCACATCATTATGAGTCTTTGAACTGAGGAGCATAGAGCCTTCTTATAAAGCTCCCTCCATCTGTCCTCTCCTAGGGAGTACACCTTCTGCTATGCGCGGCACTTCGCCCAGCTTCTTCCGGAGATCTACTCCAAGGGGCCGATGGAGTTCAGTGATCCCCAACTGCAAATTTGGTTACAAACCCATATGTAGGTACAAGTGCGGGTGTGCTTCTTAATTTCAAGTCTCTTAGTTGTTTACGGCTAGGTTCCTCTTTATAGAGGCTTCCTATTTTGATGTTTCCGGCACTTTAGATACAAGGTGTTTTCGTGTTGTTTAGAACTTGCTCAGGTTTCTTAGCTCGTGACATATCTATATAGAGTTTCAGATGGGTTCTGGGTCACAGAGTCTTTATATAGATATACTTACATACATATATAGATACCTATATACACAGGGTTTAGGCTACGTGGGTGTTCTTGTGATGCTGCAAGGAAGGGACATAACTGCATGCATGGGGTTGTCTTTTATGTATATAGACCTGTATATGTACGATTACAGTGTCCATGAGAAAAGGAAGCAGACTTATATATAGGCAAACTCCATGGAGCCCCGAAAAACATAAATGTGTGTGTGCGCAGGTATATGTACATATATCCGTATATTGAGTAGTACGTGGGTCTTGTGCCAGGACGGGTTCAGGACGTGTGACAAAGCCCTGATCGAACCCTTCAACCTGAAACGATGTATAC